AACTTTCTGCGCTGCTCTATAATCTTGTCTTTTGCTTGTCTGTGTTGAAGATTGCACCTTCCTGGTATCTGGGCATCCACACTTCTTCTTGAAGTAAGCGTCAGTGAGGTGTTTGGGATTTTCACGTTGCTGATATCAATCTTTGAAGAGGTGGCAATAACAAATTTCTGGTGTGTTCTCCACAGAGGAACTTGATTGAGGGAAAGAAGTCCCATCACAAATAGCAAGCCACTACTCAGGTGCTTCAGGAAAACCACTCTGGCCTCTGTGGCACCCAGTGAGGATGATCAAGATGGTCCAGGAGTGGTGCTGGCTCCCAGTCTCCCACATGCTGACTGGGGGTTTCTTGTGGTGGCTCAACAGCTTACGTGGCACATCTTCAGTCAGGTAGTATCTAGGCATTTTGGGAAGCTTAACCACCCTGGAACCACGGTTCTTGTCACCACTGACTGGTAGCAAGAACCTTCTCCTTTTCAGCCTTGGACTTAGCAGCTGAGTACTTCCTCTCGTACGTGGGCTTTCAGGAATACACAGCAGACCTGGAGTATGTGCCAATTCCTCCCAGGACTGGGTTTCGGCTGCAGAGGAGCTTCCCTTTCTTGGGTTTCTCGTCTGTAGGTTCTCCCTTTTTAACCTTGCCAACAGCATCAGCCTTCTGGGCTCCATATTTTTTCTCCTTAGTGTCTGGCTTCTCAACCTTTTCACATACCATCTTACAAGATGGGAAAGAGCCCTTCTCTTGAATAAAATATTTTATTTCCTTTTCTGTCTTAAACTCTGCTGTATTCTCTTAGTGGCTACTTTATTAGGAGCCACATCTTCAAAATGTAACTATTCTCAAGTGATATCAACACCACTCAGGTATACAATAAACATCTGTATTCCATTTTCTCCCCCTATAGCTTAATTGAGGTAAAATTGAAGTACAGTAAAATTCACATATTTGAAGTATGCAGTTTGATCAGTTTTGACTTGTGTGTAACCAATACAATCAATGTAAAAAGGATTTCCATTACTTTTTTTAATTTGAAATCATGCAAACTGTTTCCTGCATGATTTATTACATTAGAAATCAATCACCTTAAGATATATAGAACCCCACCCCCACATAAACTATTTCAAGATTAAATGGCACATTTATAAATATTTTAGAGGTCAAGGAAGAAAATAAATAAAAAGTGCTTTGAACTAAGTGATAACAAAAACTTAAAATATCAGGATCTCTGGGATGAAACAGTACTCAGATGCACATTTATAACTTAAAGTACTTGTATCAGAAAAAAGCTAGAATAACAAATTATTTTCAAATTGTGTGGGCAGGAAAAAAATAAGAGTCGGAGCAGAAATATATGAAATAAAGAAATAATTCAATTAAAATTTGATAAAAATAAACAAGTCTAATCAAGAAAAAAGCAAGAACACAAAAATTAATATCAATGGAAAGGGAGCTAACAAAATAACCATACCAATGCTAAAATTACATTAAGGTAATATTACAATTGTATGCCAACATATGTGATAGCTTACATATCTATATTAGAGAAGGATCTGTGTGCTGCTGAGAAGCAAGCGTATTTAGTCACTGATGGATGAAATATTCTATATATGTTTGTTAAGTCTAAATTATCAATTGTATTTTTTAAAAACTTTTTTTAGTTGTAATTGGACATAATACCTTTATTTATCTATTTATTTTTATGTGGTGCTGAGGATCAAACCCAGTGCCTCACACGTGCTAGGCAAATGCTCTACTGCTGAGCCACAACCCCAGCCCCATCAATTGTATTTTTTACTTCCATAGCTTCTTTATTTAGTTTTTGTTTGGAGGATTTATCCAGTGGTGACAGAGGCATGTTAAAGTTACCCAGTATTATTGTGTTGTACCCACATTTTCAACATTATTTATTTGTCCACTGGTATTTGTGATATTATCATCATTAATTTAAACATTATGAACTCCATAATTCATGATTATTTTTGCTTTAATTGGTCAATTATCTTCTGAAGATATTTAAATAGTAAAAAGTACTTTGTATTTAACCACGTAGTTACTATATCTGGTACTCTTCATTCCTTGGGGTAGATCCAGAATTCCATCTGGTACTGCTTTCTTCTGCCTACATGATTTCCTTTAATATCTCTTGTAAAGTAAATCTCCTCTTGATAAATTCAGCATATAAAGCTTAAAGTCTTAATTATTTTTTAAAGCAGTGCTGGGACACTGAATTGCACCAAGTCCTGAAAGTCTTGATTTTACTTTCATTTTTGAAAGATATTTTGTTTGGCATAGAATTCTAGGTTCTTTTATTTTTTAACCTCTATTGTCTCCTGACTTAAATAATTTCCTATAAAAAGTCTGCTGTCAACTTTATCTTTGTTCCTCTTTATATAAAGTGTCTCCCTCACCCATTTTTTTTTTTTTTAACTTTATCATTGGTTGTAAGTTATTTCATTTTTATGTGACTGGGTATAGTTTTTTTTCCCCCAAGTTTCTTGTGCTTGGGTTTCACTGAATCTGAAGTTTATAGCTTTACTTACTTTAGAAAAACCTTCCTTTTACTTAACTATGTTTTTCTGCCCCTACCTCTCTCTCTCCTTTCCTCTGGGAGTTCCAATTGCACTTATATTTGTGCAATTTGGCTCCCTGAAGTCATTCCGCTCACTGCTATTTATTTTTTAAGTCTTTTCTTTCCTCTTTGTGTTTCATGTTAGTTTCTATTGTTTTCAAGTTCATAGTTTTCATCTCTTAAAGTTTGATTAGGAGCTTTTTTAATGTTTTCCATCTCTCAATCCTTCTTCTGACTGAATTAAAGGTAGACAGGCACTCTCTCTGTACTACCTCTATAACTCTTCCTAACATTTATTACAAAGACTTTTAAAAAGAAAGAAAATGCCAAGCAGTCAAACACACACAGGAGCCAGCTTAAGGGGCACTCACTGGTCAAATCTGTGAGAACTGAGCATTAAAATAATTAAATACAGTAATGAGTTATAAATTATTAAAAACATAGAAATCAATTAGTCTACATTGATAGCAGAGAGACAGATAAAGAAGGAAATTTCTTGATAGTAGAATGTCAAGGGCTGATAGAAGGAGGCTTTGGGAGTAGAAAAATCATTATTTTCCAACTATTATGGCAAAACTAGATTGGACAAGAATAATAAATGGATATCAAATCTAGGGAGAAATTCTGACAAGAAGAATATTTGCATTGACTTAAAAGTGCCTTTCCACAGACTACCAATTAATTGCAATGGAAGACAATAAAAAATAAATGACACAATGGAGAAATTAAACAACATCTTGACTGGTGATAAAATGAATGTCATCTTTGAGACACAAATGGATACTATATGCCTTCAAATGAGTACCCAGAAGAAAAGCAATTCATCTAAACAGTATTCTGGCCAGGAAGTCAAGATCCCAGTCTAATCACAAAGTATATCAACTGAACAAAATGAGGAATGTTCTTTAAAAATAAAAACAAAAAGGTAAGGGGCATACTGTGTTCTAAAAAAAAAAAATCTATGTTACAAGAAAAGCAAAAAAGGGAAAACAAAAAGACTGCAGAGACATTTCAAATTAAAGAAGGCTAAAGAGATATAAAACCAAAAACTAATTCCTAGAGTAAAGGGGGAATAATGTAACTAGAACAACTGACAACAATGGAATATAGATGGTAAATTAGATTAAAATGGAGCATTGATATAAACTTATGAAGTAGATAAGTATGCAGGATTATGCACACTATGGGCTGTAGTTGAGGATGAAGGTGGGGAAAACACTAACAGTAAGTGAATCTGGGTAGAGTGCATAGCTATACTCTATTACGTTTATTTTGCAACTCTGTGTAAGCTTTATTTCCACATGCAGGTCATTACTGAAAAGCCATTCCAGAACATCCTGGATCCTATCCCCTTCACATAAATGGTTTCTCTCTCTTATCTCTCTTGTTCTTCTTCGCTAAATCATTCTGTTAAGCTTAAAAACATGTTCTTACATTTAAAAAAACCAAACAAACAAAAAAGCAAATAAGGGCTGGGGTTATGGCTCAGTGGTAGAATGCTTGCCTAGTATGTGTGAGGCACTGGGTTTGATCCTCAGCATCACATAAAAATAAATGAATAAAATAAAGGTATGATGTCCATCTACAATTAAAAATATTAAAAAAAAAACAAATAAAATATCTACAGCCATTCCAGAATTACTGAAAAACTTATCTATTTGTTGTCACTTTTTTTCACTCTCCATTTATCCTCAACCCACTCTAGCCTGGCCTCCAGCCGTCACCACACGTTGAAATTCCTCTTGCTGATGTAACCAACACTTCCAGGTTACCACCTCCAACAGATACCCTTCAGTTCTTAAGCTACTTGACCTTTCAGTAGCATTTGGTAATGGTGACCATAGTCTCTCCACTAGAACAGCCACTTCCCTAGGTTTTGATCAAATACCGCTGATTTTCTTTCCACCCACTGCCATTCCTAAGTCACCTAGTCTCTTCCTCATCCTCTGAGTACTATTAGTTACAGTTCCTAAGGTTCTCAGTCCTCCCTCCCTCCCTCCCTCTCCCCCTCCCTCCCCCCCCCCTCTAGGGTGGTCTCATCCATTCCATAATTTAAAAACTATCTACATGCTGATGACTACCAAATTTATTTCTTTAATCCACAGTTGGACTTCTAGTCTCCCCCCACCCCAAACACTCTCCCCCAGTCTTCCCATTCAGAGTCACCTCCATTCACCCAGTTGCTCAAAAAACATTATGAGTGACATTTTTGTCTTTATGCTTTTCAATGGCTTAATGTTTCCTACTGTAAACACATTTTAGTTTTAAACTAATTAATCAAATATAAAAACCCAAAACTTTCTTTTGAGTGATAGAAATAAAATAAAGATGTGCTTAACCAACACACAGTACCTGGTTTTTTTCTTGTTTTTAATTTTAGTTTTGTGAGTCACTAAATAAAGGTACTAAAACTAAAATTAACATTTATATTACCAGAAGTACTGGAATTTTTTGAAGACATCACAGAATCCGCTTCTATCTAGAAGAAAGGAGAAAATAATAACATGTAAGTTATCAAGTGTTTTAACAGAACAAGTTCTTAATCTTGGGGTAAGGGATTTATTTGATAAGAAACCATCTTTACTGAACCCAGCAGACAAGTCGCTCAGCAGCTATAATCGTTATTTTACTTTGCTGTCAACGTCTATAAGCTAAAGATTTTATCGGACCTCAAAACTTTATAACATTGACCAATATGTGTAAAGCACATAAAGTCAATTTGGCTGTACCATATAGATCGCAAGCTGTAAGGCAACCTTTCTGCTTAAGACAAAAACAAGAAATTGTTACAATGGGCTCCATGGCTTTATTTTTATTTTTCCTGATTATAAAAGTAATCCCTGGTTGATATAGAAAATGAAAATTTTTTTAATTATGAAGAAGAAAAAAAATTTTTTTAATTCTTCAATGAAAACTACTTTTAGCATTTTGGTCTAGCCTAGATTTTTTTTTCTTAATCCCTATGTGATTTAAAACATTTGAGAACACACTGTGTAAAGTTTGAGAACCTGATTTCACCAGATATTAAAATGAAGCTTTTCCCCACATTGTTACAAGGGCTTTATAAACTTTTGGGGACTAGAACCCTGAGAGCATCTAACATACTTTCCTCTCCTTCAGTCTGGAATTCACCAGTCTTAGAGTCCCTGCGTTTTCCTGGCTTCTCTCGGCCCTCCCAAATGGCTCCCACTCCATATTCTTCATGGAATCTCCTGCCTACCCTTACCTGTTGACATCCTCAGTGTTCTCTCCTCAGACCACTGCTCCTCAAACAAGATTTCTGCAAAATCGTCCTTGGTAATTCCATTCACCCTTGTGTTTTGAGCTACTTGTTATACACAAAGGAATCCAAAATCTATCTCTAGCCTTTACTTCTCCACCCAATTTCAGTTCCTACATCTAAGAGAGGTAGCAAAATCTGAGATATTTTCACCATCATAACTTCCACAGTCACACAGCATCTGATGAGTGAATGCAGCTGAAACTCCCACAGTCACCTGAAACTCGGCATGCCCTATAATGAACCAGCTCCCTGTGGACCTGCTCCATCTGAATTTTCTTACTTGGTGGCATCACAGTCCCTCTGGTCTTGATGATCACACCACTGTTTTACCACCACCATGTCCAGTCAAACACCAGGGCAAAATTCATCCCAACATCCCCAAAGTACTCCTACACCCTTCTCATCACAATAGCCTAGCTCCTCTAGTCAAAACGACACCCTGGCTCCTACTATAACTGCCTTTAGTTAGGCCCACCTTCTTTGTCACCTTCTCTTCCTGTTCTTAAATCTCTTCTCTATCTTGAAACCTATCAGAGTTTTATCTGCCTGTCTACACTCCACTGTAAACCACTTCAAGGTAGGGACTGTGTTTAACTCATCTTTACCTTCCTAGCCACTAGCAAGTGTTCCTTTTGTTAAACAGGTACACTTAATTTCATCCTGTAAACAACGGCAGAGTATATTCATTATTTACTATATAAGTGTTTTGTTTATTAAATATTATTGTATGTTATGGTTTTTTAAAATAACTTTTTCAAAATATACCTTTTTCCCGGGAGGGGTAGCACATGCCTATAAGCTCAGCTATTGGGGAAGCTGAGGTAAAGGACGTCCATTTCCAGGCCAACCTGGGCAATTTAGTGAGACCTTGTTTCAAAATACACAGAAGGCTAGGGGTATAACTCAGTGATAGGGTTCGCCTGTGTCCAATCCCCAGCACCACACACAAAAATATACTTTCTATTATAGGAATTTTACATATTATCTCATTTAATTTCCTGAACTAAAGTCAGTAAATATTTCATATGTTCAAAGTAATATCCAAAAATTAAACCCCAATTCTCAATCTAGTATAAAATTTAAAATTATTAAATTTCATGTAATGCCACCTATTTAATAAAAGTTCATTGTACAAATGTCTGGTAAATATATAGGTGATTTGATATGTTAGTACTTTACTGTTTGGTTTCCTGTAGTCAGCTAAATATTTCACTTGCCTAAAAAATAAAATCCAAAAGCTCAATTCAGAAGTAAAAATCTGTTCAATTTCATGGAGTATATATACAGTCTATTACCAAATCACTGTACCTGTCATCACATTCCTCATGAATTCTAAAGTTGAAATGAAAGAAGTAAATATTCTTGAGGGTGATAAAGGCAAAATGAGACAAGATAGCTTTCTAGTTGAATATAATGCTTTAAAGGCTGAGTCTTTTCAGCTGATCTGCTTTGAATTCCAGCTGAGATGACTGCAGGTTAGCAGGAGAGCTGCAATTTCAGAGAGCCAGCCCTGATGAGCTCAGTAACTGGCCTTTCAGGAACTAAGCATCTCCGAATAAGCACTCTGGGTTGCTCATGCAACCTGTCTGGGTCAATAGGACACATTTACTATGTTGTGAAGCATTTCAACACTCTGAAGGGTGCAGAAGTGGGACTTCACAGGTCCCTGGCTGCACTAGGCTTGCAATCTGACACAGTAGTAGAGACCATGCATGCAGAACTGACTGCTGAGTTGTTTGGTCTAACAAGAGAATAAGGAAGGGCATTCCAGGCAGAGCTCTAAGTGGTCCTTTTGCAGTTTTATTTCTTGAATCTGGATAGCATCTTGACCCCGATGCTTAACAAGAAAGCATTCATCTCTAGAATGCAGGTAACAGGCAAGCAGAACAGCACAAAGACTGTGTGAACAGGAAACCTGTTCTGAAGTAGAAGGTTCATTGAGACTCAGCTCAATTCTCATTATTGGTGAATTGGTGCAATCTTTTCTGAAGAGCAATATCAAACAAAATTGCAAATGTACATATTGCAGAACCTAGCAGCTCTACTGCTAAGAATTACACATTCACAAGGACATAAATCTATGAGTTTGTGTGTTTATATAGATATAAATGGATGCTTAATGCAACAATGTTTGTAGGAATGAAAAATAATGAAAACAAAAAAAAATGACCAAAGAGAGATCATTACACAATTATTATTTTGGTATCAGGGATTGAACTCAGGGAACTCAACCACTGAGCCACATCTCCAGCTCTATATTGTATTTTATTTAGAGACAGGGTCTCACTGAGTTGCTTAGCACCTCGCTTTTGCTGAGGATGGCTTTGAACTTGAAATCCTTCTGCCTCAGCCTCCCTAGCTGCTGGGATGACAGGTGTGCGCCACCGCACTTGGCTATACAACTAATTTTTAAAATGAGGCAGTGGTGTGTGCTTTCAGGTTGCTGTAAAAACATTAAAATAAAATAGGCATAGTATGTACCTAATGTTTTCAATGGAAGACTATGCATATAGTTCGTCATTTTGAAATTTTTGAAAAAAAATTTGAAACGATACATAAGAACCTGGTTAATAATGGTAAACCCTGAGAAGTTGAGACCCTCTAGTTGAAAGAGATTTTCTTTTTACTATGTGAATGTATAACTTTTATAATTTAAACAAAGCAAAAAAAGTTTTAATTTAATGTGAATAGACACTGCAGATAACCTCCTAGATGAATTCCTTCTGTTACCAACATCCTTCTCCCAGTCTTCCCTGTTGACATCTCACTAGCATCTCATATTTAATATAACTATTAGCAGCTTGGTGGAGATATATGTTTCGTGGGCTCCAATGAGACATCTCTAATTCATTCTTGAATTGGGCCCTTAAAAGGAAAGAGGAAAATTCAGCACTGGAGACACCTCTGAAACAGCTTATAAATCACCCATGCACTTTGTAAGATCCCAAGAAAACCCCTGGGCAATTTTCTTAGGATCCATTCATATTGCATCTCCCGCATCCCCCAAGTACACAAAGAAACTTTACCTTGGAGGGCTTGTACCCAAACAGCATTACAAAAGCAACCTTAAAGTCCTCTCTGCTTAGGTAGCCTTTGTTATCTTCATCGCATGCTTTAAATACCTAAAGAATATTAAATGGTTTCAGTTAGTAAAACAAACTGTTCCCTTATTTTCATTATTATCAAATTTGAACCTCTAAAATCTAAAACTTAGCCCAGCAGAGCTTAGAAATAGAGTGGTATTATCCCAACTTTAAATCTCAAGAAATCTGCCAGAAGTGCCAAGGTCTTAACCGCTGGGCTGACGCAAATTAGTTTTCACCTTTAGGATAAATTCTACCCACAATTCCGTCCTGGAAATTAGGAAAGCGAGGCAACGAGGCTGGGGGGCTGGCTTTGAACTGGGAGAAATGCAAATTTGAAACTACGTAGCGGGGTACCGGGGTGGAGAAAGAACTTGGAAGCAGCCAAAACCAGGAGCAGGCAGCTCTGGGCTTTTCATTAATCACGACTGTTCTAAGGGTCGTCCAGGTCTCGTCTAAACAACCCGGCTGAGCCAGACGCCAGCACAGAGACTGAAATGCCCGGAGCCAAGCTGAAGTCCAAAACTTAAGAGTCACGTTCCGGACACCTACTTCCACAAACTTCTTGTGTTCCGCGGGGCTGGCTTCCCACGTCCGCCGCCGGACCCCAGCCTCGGAGAAAAACATAGCGACAGATACAACCAGTTCCTGACCACCTAGTCCAGAACCTCTCCCGCCAGAATCCGGCTCGCAGCCTCCCTCGGCCACGCCCACCGCGGCTCTGGAACTACGCCGTGCAACTCCAACGTCTCCTCCCATTGGACGGCCTCCGAGGCACTGGCGTTGATATCGCAATGCTATAGGCACAGGCTGTGTTTAACAACGTTTCCTTGGACCAGCCAGGGGCGGGGAGGCTCCCAGGCCCGCCCCCCAGCGCTTAGCTCCGCCCCTGCTTAGTTCCCTTAACTCTCTGCAAGCGATGGGAGAACCCAGCGCGCCTAGAAGCTTTACCTACGAGCTCAAGTTCATGATTTCTTTCATTCTTTGCCAACTTTGCGATAAATTCCTTTTGATTATGTTGGTCCATGGCTTTGCTAGATTTCATAGAAGACACAAAGAGTATGAACAAAGCCTAGAAGTCGAGCCAAATCCAGGATTCACGTTTAAGTCAGCAAGTCATTGGGTTGAGCACGCAGGATAGTCAGTAAGTTTGTTTTGTCCTTCGAATAACTCCAGCATCTAGCACTGTGTCTGGAACAAAGGAGATCTTCAATAAACGAAAGAAGCCGTTAGCACATTTACACAGACTTATTCCATTCAACCCTCTGAAAGTGATGCCTGGTGTGAGGGAGACCCAAGGAGTAAATAGCATAAACAGCCTCAAGTCCAAATTACATAGCAAACATCCTTATAAAAGACGAACGTCGGGAGAGTTCCGTTTCCCAGATGGGTTCATCTCTGATCCCTCTATTTTGTCAAATCGATAAATTAAAAAGAACGTTCGCATGCCTGTTTGAAAGAAGCAGGCATTCGAGGTTCTGAGTCTGATGTGGACTTGTTTAACTTTTTATTTTACAGCAGGCTTTTTTAAAGACTGAGCCCCAGCCGAGCCCGCTCTTCCCGGGACACGGGTTTTCCATTTGGCAGCTGCTTTTAATCTCAGCTCATCTTTCTCTCTCTCTCTCTCTCTCTCTCTCTCTCTCTCTCTCTCTCTCTCCTCTCTCTCTCTCTCTCTCCGCCTTTCAAAACACACCGCTGACCCCTGGGAACCTGAAGCTATGTGAACCCCTATAAACGGGTTGACCACCTTTCTGTTTCATCCCTCTTTTAAGTCACCAGTAGGTGAGCTGGGAGGGAGAGGAGGTCAGGTCTCCCATCAGCCCCCTTTGAGGAATAAACCTGTCAGTCCCTTCGGATATGGGGGTCTTTAGGACCCAGGGGCAAGATCCCCGGAAGGGGAAGCGGCTGGGCCGTGAGGCGCGCGCCGCGGCGAAATGCGTTTGAACTGCGCGCAGGCGCAGACGTCGCGCGGGGGCCGGGCCGAGGCGGCGGCGGAGGCGGTGTGGCCAGGTACGTGTTCTGCGGCCGCGGGTTGCGCGCGGTGTCTAGTCCTGCGTCCCTCGACTGCCCGGCTCGCTGTGCGGAGGAGCTGGAGTCCGGAGAACCCGGCGCGTGGCGGCCGGGCTGGAGGCTGACCGCGAGGGAAGCGGCGCCGCCGGAGGACTCCGGTCGGGGTCCTCTGCCCGCGACCCCGGCTTCCTGCAGTAATAGCGCCTCTTAGCGGGCGCTCAGCCAGCGCTGCAGAGAACGACTCCTGCCCGCAGGGTGGGTGCGAGGCCCCCTCTCGCTTCTGCCGCCCTCTGCCCTTGCGGGGTGTGGTCCCCGACAGTTGTAGCGAACGCAGGTTGAGCGCGCCCCACTTGCGGGCGTGTACCTGAGCTTTCTTGGCTCGTTTCCCCCAAAGGGGGACGGTCACAGTCCACGCCTACCTCCTTCAAACAGGTCCTACAATACCATACGGAATTGTAGCCAACGTAATATTTTTAAAAAGGTAAATCGAGCCAAGTTACTCCCCTTATTAAAGTTCAGTTAGTAGAAAAAGATATAGTGTCTTTAACATGCCTTCTTCCCCCACTCCTTTCATCCCGGACCATTACCTTTCTTGCATAAATCCTTCTTCTGATCCTGCAATTCTATGACCCTGTTCTCACCTTCCAGCCTTTGCCGGTTGGGTTCCCTCTCCCCGGAATGCTCTTCACTTCATGTTTTAGCTGTCTGGGTCCGTTTTATCCTCCGGGTCCCACTCATTAATTTCTTCAGAGATTGTTCCTAAGTAAGGTCATCCCTGTAAAATGTGAAGAGTGTGTGAAATCACCTTAGCTAATTGAATTTTTATGTTGTTAATCTCTCTTCCACTCTAGAAGCAGACTCTCCCAGGACAGAAACTGTATATTGTTAATTTCTTATTCCCAGTGCTCAGTACACAGTAGCTGTTCAATACGCGTGTATTAAGTCAATGAATTGGGGTAGGTAAGCATGATGCTTATTTCACAGCTGAGGAAAACCAGGCTCAGCCGTTATCCAATCTGCCCGCTGCACATGAACCACATAGTTTAAGAATTCAAAAGAAAGTAGATCTTACATTCTGAGTAATTTTTCCTGAGATGGCTCTTGTTTTTAATAGTCACACAACTGTAGCCACTGAAGTAGTTCTTTGAAAGTGAGTTGTGATACCTTAGATACTCCTAGCTAGCAATCCTTTAGAATCTAGAACTCTAGGGGATCCTACCTTTAAAAAAACAATAAGTAAATAAAAACAAGTTAACTAATATGTCTAAGCCGCTTTAAGTAGAAGTTAAACAGCAGATCATTCTGGATGTCTGTCTTAGAGAACCTGGCAATCAGACCGAGTTAACTGTAACAATACATTTCTAACAATTTTAGTTGTCTCATTTGCTTAACCTTGCAGATTAGAAATAGTTCATGAAAATATCTACACTGAGTCTTCACAACCCCCTAGAAGATAATAAAATAGTAGAAATTAACAGAAAACTTTTAGAAAGCAGATATGAGGGCTCAAGAGACCTAGACAGAGTCTAGGGTGTCACTTATTACAGGAACCAGTGGCCCCATCCACCTCTGCGGTTCCAAATGCTTTGACTGTAAAATGGTGTCCATGCAGGTGAGGGTAATAGTCACCCTGTGTCTGGAAGGAGTGTCTCCATACACTCTTCATAAAAGTTCCTTAAAATGTATCATTTACAGAAGAAACCTTGTCTGACTTGACTAGTAATTAATTGAAAAAGTCAGGTGAGAAATTGTGAAAAATGATAGGCACTTTAAAAAAATTTTTTTTTTTTTTTTTGCTTTGAAGTATGAATGTGTATTCATTTGAAAATCTTTTTTTAGGAAAGGGGGTTGACTCCAACCCCCTTTCCTAGGGGATCTAAACAAGGTCTGGATTCTAAGACAAGGGTGGAGGAGGAGATGGTGACTAGGATTTTTGCTATTGTCAACTTCCTGTAGCAGATTCTGGTAACAGTTACGTGGCTTAACCTCTGAGAGGTGTCATAAGTGCTGCTTGTTGCAGAAGCTCATCTGATAGGGAATTTGAGAGCAGCGAAGTCATTTTGCCAATGGCGTGGTGAATGGGAAATGATATTTCTGCCTTTCTGTTCCAGAAGCATGTCTCAGGAAGGCAGTTACGGGAGGTGGACCATATCCAGTAGTGATGAAAGTGAGGATGAGAAGCCCAAAACGGACAAGCCATCAACATCCTCTCTCTCCCATGCTGGGCAGGGAACAGCCAGTGAGCCACGGTTCAACTGTTCCGAAGCTCGAAAAGCTGCTCACAGGAGGCAGACATCACCTGTGCAATACAGCAGTGCAGATTTGGCTCCACCTCCCAAAAAGCAGAAAAGTGGTTCCCAAGAAGAGCTAGGCTGGTGTCTCTCCAGCAGTGATGATGAACTGCAACCAGAAACTCAGAAGAAGCAGGCGGAGAATGTGGAGGTCAAAGAGGAAAAAGACCTCTCCTCTCCCAAAGATAGTGCTGCCCAGAGAACTGGAAACCATGGCCTTCCTGCCAGCCACAGGCACAAAAGAGAGGAAGACGAGTATGAGACCTCAGGGGAAGGCCAAGACATTTGGGACATGCTTGACAAAGGGAATCCCTTCCAGTTCTACCTCACTAGAGTCTCAGGAATTAAGCCCAAGTACAACTCCAAAGCCCTCCACATCAAGGGTAAGAATGCGGACATCAGGAGCTGTGGATTTGGCCTTGACAGGTTTCTCAGTGAACCAAGGAGGCAGCCTGGAATGATCTCCAGGAACCCTCCTTTGTGGTCCTAACTACTCTAGGGAAAAAAATTTTTTGACAAGTTTTTGGCTGTAGGCTGGGGATTCAGGGAAATTGAAGCAAATGCATGATGTGACCAGCACGGTATATTTATACAGCAGATGTATGCAATAAGCATAATTCCCCTTCATTCAGGTTAACTTTTTTCTGGTTCATACTCAAGAATAGATTATGTTCACTGTCAATAATTTTTTTATTTGTCAAATATATAATTGCATATTCAATTTCTTCTGGGTGATGTATAAATGCTGGTGGGTTTAATTCCATACTGTAGTAAATTGGATTCTACAGGTTTTCATTTTCAGAATCTTTTATCTGGGTACTTTGAAGAGATAAGATAGTTGTCAGTGTTTTTATCTTGTTTGAGAGAGAGCAACACAGGAAATGGGGAACTCTGCAAAGCTTGGGTTCCATAATAAAAATGAAAAAGACTGACTGTGAGCACCAAGATCTTATGTGGGTGGGTGACACCATGAGAGGAACTCTGCCTTCATTGTAACCCCACAGTAACTTTATGAGTAGGTGGTCCAGAGTAGATGGTCCAGCAGCAACGATGAACTATAACTGAACAGGTGATGGATCTGCAGTTTAGAAAAACTAAGAGAACTGTCTGAGATCACAGAGCTGGTAATGGTAAGACTGTGGTTTAAATCCAGGCATGCAGGACCCAAGTCCCTGCTAATTGATACACCATGCTGACACATGCCATCACTGGAGGTTGTCTAGAAGGTCTCATGGAAGAGAGGACATCAGTGGCCTGGCCCTTGAAAGATACATAGGGTTTGGGGAAAAAGGGGCTAGGCATACAGCTCATGGATAGAGTGCTCACCCATCCTACATATGGCTCCAGGTTCGCTCCTCAGCACCAACAGTTTAGAAGGTGGAGGGGGGCAAGGATGTATCACAGGTTCTTTTAATTGTGCAGCTCTCCCAAT